AGAATGCACCTTGTCACCCTCTCTGTACAGAATTACTATGGTCCTCAATTTTTCAGTATCACATGTTATAATAAAAAGACTATGATGTGGTTATCTGGTGGTTATTTCACTGTTGGGAAGAAAATACCCAATTTCCAAATGTTATTTCCCAATTGTTCTATAAATGTTGAAAATACAAAATATCATTCTATTATAGTGCTACAAGGTGGACTTGTAGGGTACGTTCTGTGACCCAGTAATTGTACCTGAAGCTTTCTCAGCCTGGGCCTCCTCACTCCCTAAGCAATCTTGACATCCATTTGTGGGCTGCTCACATTCTAGTTGGAACTCTTATGTCCCCACCCTATTTCTCACCATCCCCCAAACCCTATTAATTCCCTATAGCTCAGGTTTCCTTGCCTTGGTCATCATATGCCTGCCTTCTAAGCTCCTCTCAGTTGGGGCACTCTGTTCCCACAGGTGAGAGTCAATTCAGTTCACTTTTGATTTAAATCTCCACAGTCAACAACAAACAACAACAACAACAACAAAAACTTTAAGCAAACAACAACGGAAAGACCCTTTTTGCTCCCAATTCTACGAGATGTTCCTGAAGCAACAGTGACAAGCACACAAACCCTGGACAAAGAGCAGTGGCCAAGAGAGCTTCCCACAATGACGTCAGCCAACTGCCACTTGCTACTAATAAAATACAACTAGTACCTTCAGTTCAGGTTAATTAACTTTAACCTAAACAGCTATTGTGCTTAGTGGCTGCTATAGTCCACCATGCAAGTCTCCAGTGAGGATTTCTATAATTTAGCTGGAGGCTGGTTAACTGGCCCTCCTGGAGTTCATGGTGTGGAAGCCATTATGCAGGAGCATTTGAGAGTTGGGGAAACCCTCCCCCACTGTGAGGGGGAGGGGGACTTGAAGAAGCAGCTACACCCTCCCCAGATAACAACTCAAAAATGACAGTGCTTACTGAAGCTCAGTCCAAGGACAATTAAAGACATACACACACACACACACACACACACAATCACCACCTCCCCCTGGAGCTTAAGACTTGGTAGAGGACAAGCCACTTATTCTAATTAGGCTAAATTTTTCTATAATTATTTCCTTCCCTTGGCTTTGAATTTTTTGGCTCTTTCAGAGATAGAACTTACAAAAAATAAAAAATAAAAAGCCAGAAATCCCAACAATGGTGCTAACCACACCAACACAATTCCCTATTTTTGAAAAGCTTTCTGAAAATTTCCAACATTATTCAACAATTCCTTGACCACTCTGTTAATATGATTTTAAGCAGATCACACTCCAGACATTACTTTATGACAACTGCACACTCAAACAGAGCCAGCCCTTTCTTATTTCCAATTTTGCAAACTCCTCAACCAAACCATACCAGAAGGGGGAGGATGGTGCAAGCCCAGCCAGTGCAGCTATAATTAATGGACCAACCTCCTTGTTTTGCTTAGATTTTTACTTCAGAACTCAAGAAGCCCCACTGCTACTGAACTAACATTCCTGTTACAGTGCTGCAGTAAAACAACACAAAATCAAAAAACTCAAAGGGTCACTGAGAAGCAATGTTTTCAAAGCCAGTCCTTTTAGCCTACTGGTCCTTTCATGACATTGCTATTGGCCACACAGAACGCAGACTTAACTAGCACTGAATGCTTTTTCTGCAAAGCAATCCCCCCAGTATTTTGCTTTGAAACCTTTCAGGCATGATATTCATGGAATCCACTTGGTGGTCACTGGTCACTACAAGGTCCCCAAAGAAGGAAATATTTTAATGACAACTTTCTTTGCCAGGAATAGTCATAGCCTGTAACAACACCCCCTTCCTCGTGAGGTACAGCAAAGTAAACCCGAAGCTTTGCAGCCAGCCCTTCTCCACAGGGCAACCACAGGAATGGGGGTGGGGCACAGGTCCCCCTCCAGGTTCCCAGGAAATGGACCAGATAAACACCAAAAGGCCTCTGGCATTAGAAGATGGTTGTAAACCCTGTGGGAGGACTAGTAACACTTAGTAGCCCACTTTCTTTGCTGACTACAATTTAGAATTAGTATAATTAGAGCACACACATTTCCTGTACTTGATCGGACTGGTGGGGAGTGGGGGGTCTGCAGATTAGGGAGGCTCAGCATTTCACACCCAGTTCCATATCAATGATAATGATAATTTTTTACATCCTGGCCCCCCTGGAATACATTTTAAAGGAGTGTCACCTCTCCAGCTGAAACCTAGCTTTAGAATTCCCCTTTAAGGGATTCATGTTCCCTACCTGTCAGACAGGCTATTCCCCCACTCTCATTTTCATCCCTCTGATATCGGGGAAAAGATTCCTAAAAAAGGACAGGATAAAATTCTGACTCTGCTAGGCTTAACTGTCTTTGAGGGTAAACCAAGGCAAGTCACGCCTTAACAAATAATGACATATATGTAACAATTACAGCTGTACTTTGACCAAACAATAGCAAGAAGATTTACCAATAAAAATAGAAATTATTTCACATTGCCTCACGAATCTGCAGGTCACTGTCACCAAAACTACCCCTGGTAAACGCACACTTTTGAACTCATGTTGCTTTTTTTTTGCATGCAAAATGTTAAGCAGAATTCTTGACAGTGTTCTCTAACTATGACATGCTGTGCTAATGGAAGTTCAGCTCACTGACTAGAGCCCCTCAGCAGTCACCCACTGCTTCGTTGTATAGCAGCCTACACTGAATGTCACACGGGTCAGTAGTGGTCAAAGTCTCAGGATGGCATTCCTTATCAAGTAGAGGTGAGGGTTAAATTCACTCTCATTACTAAATACTAAAACATTTCCAATGTGCACTGCTTCTTTGCTTGGTACACAGCCATAATAAGAAAAACATGTTGCCTTACTACATACATTAAAACTTTTCTTTTCCCACAAAGCCTTCTTATTCAAGATGTTTTCATTTACTTCCAAATGGATCACTATCATTATTTATTACGACCATCACTCCAGGGATCCCGGCCAGAAGTAAACACTACACTGTCAAAATCCGAGGGGAGGCAGTTGGACCCCAAACTTCCATTCCCAGCCTATCCTACCTAAGTGGGGCACATAGTCCCAAACCTGGGATTCGTCTCCTTAGGAAAAAGAGCCTTCTATAAAAAGGGAGAATAAAAACTTGTAAGTCCTTTTGAGATAACCTTTCCGTGTCTGTACACAGTGATTTACGTTTCGTGTATAAAACACACTCAAATTACGGGATTCCTCATCGGGGCAGAAGAGATGCCAAACACTCAAATCTCCTATAATCGTAAAACTGATTCATATTTTGAATATGATCATATTCTTTGAGTTTTCAGCTAATTCCAGAAGAGAACTATAAACAGCTTTCCTACTCCCTCCCCTAGAGAGGCTACGATTATTTTATTGGGGGGAAAAAACTTATATACAGGGTTCAAAAAGTAACGAAAATGAAACAGGATTGCTTTGTTCCTCAGAGAATTCTTAAATTCGACTGGAAACGACGACAGCAATGTTTAAACTACTCCACCCGATATGCGAGCCACTTTCCTGTTCTCCTTACAACCTTGATGTAAGCAACAGATCCATCACCCTTTACCACATCTCCCAGCTCCAGCTCCACACCCCACACTCCTCCCCTGAAAATGCAACTAAAACCGCCCCCGTCACACTTCTGCCCCTAACCCACGAGTGGCCACCACGCCCACGTTACGGAACTAGACTTTGAGTCCTGGGGTTTGACCACCACCACACCCCCACCCGCCCGGCCAACAGCGCTGCAAATGACGCCCCTGACTCTAAAGGGAGAAGGGTTCCCGCAGGTGGACGGATGCAGAAATCCACAGGGATGCTGTCAGAATTCCCCTGACTTCAAATATACCAACTTACCATTTAGCCGCGCGCCCCGAGCAGTTGACGCTTTAAGGGAAAGCAACGTTACTACAAACCCCGTTCCCAAGTCAAGGAACCAGAAGGGTCCGGCGTAATCGGCATGTGCTTAAACACAAGACCCCCAGAAAAAGTTACCCCGCATTCCTGAGTCACCGGACTGGTCTCTGGAGGGCGCAGAAGGCAGCAGGAAACGGTTAGAGCTGAGCGCCTTCCCGCGCGGGTCCCCTAAATTCTCACCTGCCTGCAGGAATGCAGGGATGGGACACAATGCAAGGGGTGCACGACACTCAAACCCACTTATGTGTAAGAGGGCGACTCACATTTTAGGATTTGAGTTGAACCCCATCCTGCAAACCTCCTGCCTCGGAGCCTCGCGCCCTCCCCCACCCGGCAGGGTGCCCAGAATCGGCCGCGCAGCGCACAATCCGGGGAACTCCCAGGTTCTGGACCGCGTGGGAGAGCTCCGCCTCCTTCGGTACCCCAGGCCGGTACCTCCAAGCCCCCTGTGAACTGCGAGGCTGATCCCACGCGCCGCGGAGTCCAAGCAGCCAAGCCCACGGAGGGTCTCCCGGAGACAGCGGGTGCCCTCCGAAGAGAGTGCCACCGAGGAACCCGGCCCGTCCCTCCAAGACATGGGCCTTGTCCCTCGTCCGGAAGGGTGCCCCAAGAGTCCAAAGACCACCCAGGGACAGCCGCCCCCAAGCGGCTTCCGCCACCTCCTGGCCGTGGGGGAGGGGGAGGGCCCAACAAAAGGGAATCCGAAGCCTGGCTCAACCAAGCGGTGGGGTCAAGAACACACTTTCCGGGGCCCCGGGGGGCGCTGTAGTAGACGGGGGCGCCGGGGATAACCTTAGTGAAGAGGGCCGAATCAAGGTCCTTACAAGCACCAGCCACGTCTGAGCACCCGGGGCCTGGCCGCGTTCACACTCACGACCCTCGAAAACGCCTGGCGAGGGGCTCCTCGGCGGCGCCGCCCGCACGGCCTCTGGAAACACTTGGCTGGCCTCGGAACGCGCCTTATGGGAAGCAGCCCCACCGGCGGGCCGAGGTCCGGGAGCGAAGAAAGAGACGGACTCATGCCAGGAGACACCGCCGGCGCACGGGTCCTACCTGAGGTCTGGGGCGCTAAGAGCAAGAGCGCGGCGGCCGCCCAGAGAACCCGGGCGCACAGCAGCAGCAGCGCCGGGCTCCGGGCCATGCCGCGGGCCTTGGGGGCCGGGCGCAGGGGGCCGGCGCGGCGCCGGGGGCCAGGCGCCACCACCCCTGTTGGCCGCGCGTCCGCTGCACTTTCTCCCGGACGCTTCGCAAGCTGGTCCCTTTCGAGGAATTGGTGGTCCGCCACTTCTCCCGGCCGGATGCGCCGCTCGGCTTCGGCTCCGGCTCCGGCTCCGGCTCCGGCTCCGGCTCCAGCAGACTGCAAAACTCCGGGACGCGCGGGCTTGGGCGTCCGGCCGCCGGGACGAGCGCGAGGGGCGGACCGCGGGCGCGCAGGAGGCAGGGTCCCTGGCTCGCCCGCCCCGGTGGGCAGAGCGAGGCCGTGGCAGGCGCCCCCTGCCGGAGAGACGCTCCTGCGGCGGGCGTGAAGCGCGGGAAGCTGGGGGCCGGGACCAGGGACAGTCGCTCAGTCCAGGGACATTCCTCCCGCTCCTACCCTCTGCCCTACGTTTCAGGATGCTTGGCCGCAAAGGCTGCACTTTGTGGGTGTCCAGCCGCACCCACCTTCGACGTGCGGGAACCCGGGGACCTGGTCACTGCGCCCCGCCAGCCTCCACCGGAGAAATCAGAGAGCCACCTAGTCCCAGAAACCAGCGGCGCCTGAGCAAGAGAAGCGAGGGCTTGGAGAAGGGAAACAGGAAAGGAAAGGGAAAGGAAAGAACCCGGCCCCGCCGGCGCCCTCTTGGCCCTCCTGGCCCCTCCTGGCCACGCTGCAGCCGCCCTGTGGGGACCACAGAGACCTTCGGAAAAGCTCAGAAACTGCTGGGGTGGGGCCGAGTGGAGGGAGCCCTTCAGAGCACGATGCTAGCTGAAGCCACCGTAGCTTTTGGTTTACTGCTGTTAAAAGCAAATTGTGTAATTTTACCCATTAAAGGAAGAACACTATTTGTTCTCTGCAGAGCCCCAGAACATGCAAAAGTAATTTGCTTCACTTGTAAAGAAATTTCTAACGCAATTCAAATGGCATATTTTCTTGCTTATTCCTGGTTTTGCTTAACACATGCAAAAGTCTGGAATTGTAAGGCCTGACCCTCAAGTTTGTAACTTAGGAATTTTCTTTGTTTTTGCTGTCTTGGAGAAAGGATTTGGAACCTCCAGCGTCGCAGTTTTTTGTTTTGTGAGATTTATATTTTAACTGATTATAGAACAGTTTGACATTTTTGCTCAAGCACCATTTCCTGCTAGTTGGGATGAATTAGGGAGAGCCCAGGCCTTGGGTGCCAGACCCCGAGGCCCCTGAGCTCCCCTCACCCCCCCCCCGCCACCCCCTCCCATTGCCCCTCCACTGCCTCCCTCACACTTGGCAGGAAATAAAAGCTCTTTCCCTGTTTGTTGACAGCAAGGCTGGGCCAGCTCCGCCATTACCCATGTTAAAGTTAATTAGGCCTCTCACTGTCGGTGCTGAATCTGTTTGGGGAAGCATCCCACACAGTTCTCATTCCTAATGCAGATTGGAGAGACTGTGACATCACTGGCCAGGGGCAGCAGGGGATCCGGGGGCGAATGGAAGAAGACCATAAAATCATTATCCAACTGTGGGGTTCCCCAACCCCAAGCACAGGCTTCTGACACTGCTGGTGCGGGTCTCAAATGGGGGCTGCTCTCCCAGTGTTGTCTGAGTACTGCCAGGTGTTTATCTTTGGGTTTTCCTTCCCATAGGGGTCCTCAAGGATGCTTTAAGGGTAAACACGACTTTAAAAGTTGGTCCTGAAGCACTTAGCTCCAGACTCCTCCATTTTGGATCTAGTGAAAACCAGACAGACAACAGAGGGAGGGTTCCATGAGCCTTGCCCTTAAAAACTGGTCAATCAGTACAGTTTTGTCCTTTCAGAGGAGGTGTGCTCTTTGCTTTCTTTCCGTTGGGCACAGCTAGAGGCTGTAGTTCCAGAACCTTTGGGTGGGCAGCTCTGCGATTCCTTCTTGGTGTGAACTTGAGGAAATCATGCAATTGCACTTCAGCCCCTCATCTGTATGCAATTTTCATATGACTAGGTTCCCCACAAACCTGACCAAAAGTTTAAACAGCAACGTGTATTTTTGCTGACAGTTTCTTGGGTGGGATCAGAAATGTGGGTTATAAGACACATGATTCCTTAAAGCTGCTTAAAAATTATCTTTTCAGCATTTCTTTTTCCCCACAGTCTGTAAGTCTGACCTGTTCTTACCTATCTCCCCCTTACTCCCTCCTTCCTTGGTTGCCTACAAGTTCAGAACGGACAGATAAACACAATACATCTATTGTTATAAATGGGAGGGATCAAAATATGCTCTTTCTAAGTAGATAGCAGAATGTGGCTTAGGTCTAAGCAAGATGGGAGCTACTTACGCCTTCTCACGTGTATCAGCTGTTGCTGCATAACAAATCATCCCAAACCTAGCAGCTAAAACAGTAAACATTTATTATTTCACAAAGGTAGTTTTTGTGAATCAAGAATTCAGGACAGGCTTAGCTAGGCACCTCTGGCTTAGGGTCTGACTGGGTCAGGGGTCTCTTTACGAGGCAGCTTGCTTACACACCTGGTGAGTTAGTGTTGGGTGTGGGCAGGAGGCCACATGGACCTCTCTACAGAGCTTGACCATCCTCACAACACAGCAGCTGGCTTTGCCCAGAGTGAGAGCCAGGCAGAAATTGCAATGTCTTACAGTTTAGACTTGGAAGTCAAGCACAGTTTTTTCTGCAGGATCCTGTTGGTTTCACAGGTTCACTATCTTCTTTGTGGGAGAGAGCTACACAGGGGTGGAGAGAATACTGTGTTTTGCCACGTATAATGTGCAACCATGCTTTTGGCCCTAACTTTAAGGAAAAAACTCATTTTAATTTTTTAATTCAATTTTTATTTATATTTAGAAACAAAACCAATTATCGTATTCCAGGGTATTATTTTGCTTGCAGATATCATTATTGCTTTCTAGAGTTATACTTTTAACACATAAACATAAATAAAAGAATTAGAAACATTTATATAGCTACAGAATTAGTACTACCTGTATATAATGCACATTCTTATTTTTCTCTCAAAAATCCGGGCAAAAAAGTTCACATTATACATGGCAAAATACAGCAATTTTTAAAAACAATGTCCTTTTCAAAAGCAGGAGTTTTTCATTTTGATGATGTCCAATTTATTAATTGTTTTCTTTTATGGATAGTGCTTTTTGGGTCTCAGTAAGTGCTAGGTCAGGCCAAAAATATCTCTAAGAATGGAATATTTGAGCATACCAACCTCCAGAAAGTAGGTGACACAGTCCACAGCCTCTGCCCACTGGTCTTTCATGGTGAACACTTGCAAACCAACGCAGTGGGAATTCCACTTGTTCGTTTTTTAGTTAGGAAAATCCTCAACTGAACTGAACCCTTCTGCTGTACTAGCAGCAAGCTGTACACAAATCCAAGTACAAAATAAGATAAATAAGACAACTTGTCAAACAAGATGACTCCATTCCTTCACACTACTCTCCTTGTGAATCTGGCTTTGGGCCTGAACCTACACAAACGGGTTGGCCACAATCAGCTGGGACGCTCAGACTAGGAAATGCAACCTCTCTGCAGCACTTGACCTTAGACCTTTCCTCCCCACAAGCACATGTTTCCCTGGCTCTATGGCACCAAGAGTTCCTGCTCCCCCACTGCTTCTTGAGGTGTTTCTTCTGCCCTCCCCTTCCACTCAGTGTCTCACCAGGCACTCTTCTCACTCCACAACCTCCCACTGAGGAATCTCTCCCAAGCTCATGGCTTTAGCTCCATCTATAAGTCTGGCAACTCCAAAACTTATATCTCCAACCCAAAATGTTCCCTAACCTCCAGACTCATGTTTTCAACTGTCTCCATGGTCTTTTTACTTTGGCTGTCCCAATGGCAGCTGAGATTAAAGTTGTTCAAACTTGAACTCACGATTTGCTATGAACCCTGCCTCAAACTTAGTCTTTTCCCTAAATTCCCTTCCTCACCCAAAGGCACTGCCATCCATGTAGCTCCACAAGTCAGAAATCTAGCCTCCATCTCTGACACTTCCCTACTTCCCTCTCTCCCTATGTTCACTCCATATTCACCATGTCCTATTGGTTTTACTTTCTGGATGCCTTCTGCCTAATGTTCTTTATCTCCATTGTCATGGCCCTAGCCCAGAATGATTTCACCTCTCACCCGGATAAAGTATCTCCCCATTTCTACCATCACCAAGCTTTAATCTGAGCTCCACACTTATGTTTCTCAAACTCAAGTCTAACTACGTTGCTACTCAATGGTTTTTTAGGGCCCTTAAAGTAAGGATTGAAAGCTTCACATTACAGGAGCTGTCATGCTGTGAGGATGCTCAAGGAGTCCTGCATGAAGGTCAGTGTGGCCTAACTGCCCAGACTCACTCTGCACCTTGTTGTCATTGTTCTTATTTTCCAGACATTTTTCTCTTCCATTTCCTCAAACACAAATAAGACCAAGCTCCCTTCCACCTGAGGCCTTTTCACAGACTGTTCTTTCTGCTTGGAATAAGCACCCTCTGACTTCCTTTACTAGGTAGCTTTCACTCATTCCTTCAGCTGTCACTTCTGAGGGACACTGCCTCTGTCACCTGCATCCCACAACAGGTCCAGGTCCATGTAGACACAGTGCCTAGAATCCCACCTGGAGGCACATAGCACAGTTGCAATCTTACTGGTATGAGGCAAGTTTACAAGACTTGTCTACTTTCCCTACTGATCTGAAGCTCCATAAGGAATGAGCTGATGTTTCCTCATTAATGCCTGAGAGATAGTAGCAAAATATTTGCTAACAAAGGAAGGGAAGGGGTGAGGCAGGAAGGAAGAAAGCAAGGCAGGCAAATGCTAAGGTGCTGAACTAAGATTTAGGACAAACGCAATAAATTCTGTCATTTACCAGACCACAGTCTTTCTAATGTATAGCAAATCTTTATAAAATAATGCTAGCATTTTCTCCACTTCATGCTTACATAACTGAATGAACTTTATTACAGGCTTATCCTGAAATTACATATTCATTCAAACCACACTGGTATTGTATATTTTATCTCAAACCCTTTAGTCTACAGACAGCTTGAATAGGCTTTCTTGTTTCCAAAAGTTTAGATTCAGGTATGATGACACAAAGACTCCAGTTTTCACCGATAACTATGAACTTCAGATGTTCATAAAGCTTGAATGTAATCAGTATAACAAAGGAATTTTATTTTAAATTCCAATCTTTATGTCAAGAAACTGGAGCAACAGA